AGCCTAAATTATAATTATATTTTTAAAAATATGATTCCATCGCTACATAAGAGTTCTCATGTTTCAAAAACAGAAGCTAAAAAAACAACTCTGTTTCATCCTCAAGCGAATATATATGAAAGGTTGGCCTGAAGAGTGCATTCAGACATGAAACAGACTGTCGCCACTCATTGTAGCAACATGACAACATGATGGAGCCCATTTGTCTTGAGGCTCAAGCTTACACACACACAAGGAGATGCTGAAAAGGTCTCCAGTATCTCCATGATCAAACAATTTGCACACTTTTATGATATCACATGTGTTGGAAGAGTCTATTCCATTGCATTGTTTAAAAAATAGTGTTACATTGTTCTTTTTTTTATTATTTCCAGAATTAAGTCATACCATTTTTTAATAAATTTAATGTTTTTTAAAACAATTTTTGTGATGTCAGTGATCACTCTTTGCCTCTTTTGTGATGTCAATGAATACTTATTGTCACTTTTGTAATGCTCATTGTAGTAGAGACTTTGTAATCGTTGATACCACTATAGTATGCCATTGAACAATGCTGGTGTCAGATGCCTTTGAATAATCTTACACTAATAGTACTTGCTCAATAATACTTGCTCAGAAAGTAATCGGTATAGTGATCCGAATAGAGGAATAGTATAGTGAATAGAGTAGAGAATAGCAGTCCATATAGTAATAGAGGATAAACTAGAAATGGTGATCATTTAGACATCACATGACTTCCTATATATGCATTTTCTCTAAGGTCAGGTGGTCTACTTAATTCAATAAGGGGATCACCTGTGTTTGCTCACTGGTGATCTATGTTCAAACTCAAGTGTCAGCAACAAAACTTTATTCTTATATAACAATAATAATAATAATAGTGAAACAGAAGAGGACATTCCAAATGTTTTTTGACAACCCTTTTTTATCACTTCACCCCAAGCAAAGCAATATTGCCACTAAGACGCAAGGGGATGATGGAAGTGAAAGAGAAAGAAAAAAAATTTAGAAGGAACTTGAATCCCAATCCTAAACAGGAAACAAAGGATAAACCTCTACTCCTGTTAAAAAAACTGGTGAGGAATGCCAAGAAGTAGAAGTTAATGCTAGACTGAGGAGGAGTGTGAACCGGACACGAGACAAACCTATCTACTCCTATTAGGGCTGTTTGAATAAATTGGATAAATAAGTTGTTTTATCTTTTACATTTAACAACAACCTCATTACCAGGATTTCTTGCACTTTCTATGATGATGCTGTACAAATGGTCTTTCAGTTTTTATGTGCATTATGGAAGTCAATATTTAATTTATACAACCTTTTTTGCATACTGATTAAGTTGTGCCAGGGACACTTTGCATGTTATTATCTTTTCTAAAAGTACAAGAAGTCTTGCAAATGAGTTTTGGTTTTTACATTTGTGGTTCGGGAAAACATTTCTTTACTTAAATTCTAAATTTTTTACCATTTAAATAATTTTCCAAACTCCTCTTTTATTAAGACCCCCACCCCCGTTTATTGCATACCAATAAAAATTCCTAACACCCTTCCCCTTGTATTAGCTTGCTCCATAGTGAAACATGTCGTTATAGATAGCCTATTCTTCAATGTGCCTGTGCTCAACTCATTTTCTCTTAGAATGAAAACAAGCAAACTGTCAACAGAAAAAAAATGACATCAGCAGTAGCAGCTCCTATCGGCCTGTGGCATGAGCATCACTAGCCACAGTAACAGCAACAAGAGCAGCCACTTCAACAGAAAGTCAGATAGTGACAGTGGGAGGCTATACAGCTTTAGTAGTAGTAGTAGGAGAAGCAGTAGCAGTGGCAGTCTGTAGAATTTTAAGTTAATCTGTCTTGGAGCATTGCCCAAGCCATCTTTCATAGCAACCAAGTGAAAACCAGCAATTAATTCAGGGTTGGGTGGGAGATGGGAGTGATCTAAACATGTTCATATCTATCTATCTGTCTCAGTCTGCTCATATCCTTCTTTCTGTCTCTCTCTGTCTGCTCATATCTATCTGTCTCTCTCAGTCTGCTCATATCTATCTCTATTCATATCTGTCTCTCTATCTATCCCAGTCTGTTCATATTTAGCCATTTATCTACCTTCTTCAATGTGTTCATAGCTAGCTAGCTATTTATCTATTTATCCATTTCCATCTATCTACCTACCTCAGTCTGTTCATAACTATCTATTTCAGCCTGTTCATATCTACCTATCCATCTCTCTATATCTTTCTGTCAGTCTGTTCATATCTATTTTTCTCAGTCTGATGATATCTTATTTATCTATCTAACTATCGATCTATCTCTCTATTTTTCTATTTGTTTATATTTAAGTCAGTTCCTATCTCTCTGTCCCTGTACATATCTACCTCAACCTGTCCATATCAATCGATTACATATCTTTTTCATTCTGTTCATATTTATCCATCTATCTCAATCTGTCCAGATCTATTTCAACCTGTTCAGATCTATTTCATATCTTTTTCAGTCTGCTCATATCTGTTCATATGTCTCTATTTATATTCAAGTTTGTTCATATCTGTCGTAGACCATTCATATTTATCTAAACCTGCTTTTTAGCTCTCTATTGCAGTCTGTTCATATCTATCTCATATTTTTACAGTCTGTTCATATCTATCTATCCATCTATATCTCTTTATCTCAGCCAATTCATATCTCTCTATCTCTGTTTATGTTTACATCTGTTTATATCTATTTTCTCTCAGTCTGCCCATATTTATCTATTCATATCTCTGTATCTCAGTTTGTTTATATTTAAGTTCTTTCATCTCTCCCTAAGTCAATTCATATCTCTCTCTGTTTATATCTACCTTTTTCAACCTGTTCATATCAATTCCTCTATTCCAATCTGTCCATATCTATTTTCATCTGTTCAGATCTATCTATCTATTTATCTATGTTTGTTCAAATCTGTCTATCTCATACCTTTTTCAGTTTGCTTATATCTATTCATCTATCTATATCTCTGTATCTCTTTATATTTAAGTCTGTTCATATCTATCTCAGCCTGTTCATATCTATTTCAGTTCATTCATATTAATCTAAACCTGCTTTTTAGCTATCTCTCTATTGAAGTCTGTTCATATCTATCTGTTTATTTATGTAACTTTGATTATTATGGCAGTGATAATCATTTTTCAGGCAAGATAATGTTTTTCTTTTCAAAATGACTTAATGTGATCTTTCATTTTTGTATTATGATACATATGTCAATACAGTGACTATATGAATGATGCTCACAGCAAGTGAAATAAAAAATAGAAATAAGGGCAGATAACTCTGTAATGGCAATCACACAACATTTATCATCATGCAGGTAAAGAACTGGAAGTTCATGAGAAAAAAAGAGAGAGAAAGAGGAATTTTTTGTTTTCTTTTTCATTATTTAATAATTTGGGATATACAGTAAAGATGTTGGTCATTATATGTAAAGTGTACAGTCAACATAAAAGTATCACCAGCAATTGCAGGACAGCTATATAACAAATATGATTTGCATGTAATCTAATTAGATGTTTTTGTGTACATATCTATTTGGGTTTATGCATGTCTATGATGTCTGCATTTATCTCCCTTTGTCATGAGTGACAGTGGATAATTTTTTTAACTAATTGTTCACCCAAAATAATGCCCAAGAGCCATTCATGGTAAAGATTTACGGAATGCAATTATTTTAAGACATTTTTATGTTTATACATTCTTTTTATAGATACAAATATTTAAGTAAATGCTGTTTTATAATAAACAGTATTTATAACATTTACCAGCCTGAATGTCCAAGAACGAATATTTTCTATGAAAATTTCTCAGACATTCAGGCCGGTAAATGTTATTGAGGTGAATAAAGAAAACAGTAACCAGTGAGTAAATTCAAGCTCTCCCAGCTGGTATTTCAACCTTGAGTCTTTCCTTCTTGAGTTCTGTCTCAAAATCACACTAACAGACTGTTCTTGCCGCCAACCGTGAATGTCACTCGAAGCACTGCCCCACTGGGAAAAAAGTAGTTGCTTTTATATTTGTCCATATACCCATAATCCCTTGCGTCTTCATGTGATCCCATAATTCATTGCGTCCATGTCCCATAATGCATTGCATCTTTATTGCATAAAAATGAAATGCAAGTCCCCCCTCATTCTTTTACGTTATCTGGCCGAGGACGGATTACAGCAGAGCGGTAAGTGCTTTTTTCTCCCTCATTTCAACTGCAGTAGCTTTACATGCTAAGCAAATACGGGCTCTTTTTTGGCGGGGACAACGCAAGTCACAACCAGTTGTGCTCGTCCCAAGTTCTGTCTCATGTCCGCCACAGTTATTAATACTGTTTATTATAAAAAAACAGAGCATTTACTTAAATATTTGTATCTATAAAAAGAATGTATAAACATAAAAATGTCTTAAAATAATTGTCAGACTTCATCTGTTTCATAATGAGATTATTGTAAAAAGAATTAATAAGTGCAGATTATGAGGATATGTGGGAAAGATAATGTGCAAAATGGATTCTCACAAGAAAAAAAGATGGATTCTGATGGGAAAAATTGTCTGGCCTGATACAGTGGACCAACATTTCTAATAGTAGACATAGCAATTGATTTAATATAATCTCTCCAATTTATGTCAGTGGAAAACATGAGCCCAAGAAGGTGCAAAGTGTTGCTCTCCTGGGGGTTAGCATCAGCCATACTGATAGCAGGCAAACCTTAGACATGAAGAGATTAAGGTTATAGCAATCAGAGAAGCAACCTCACAAAGATCATAAAGTAGCAGTTATTGGGAAAGAATTTCCTTCTTACTAATGGAATATGAATAGGATGAGGATGATCTATTCCAGTGTTCATGACATAATGAGTTTTAGATATGAAGGTCTGAACTGGTGGAACTAAGATAGGTAGCTTGTCTGAATATTTGCCATGGAAATAGCAATAAAGTGGCAAGATGCTTGTAACATGTATTTTTCTCCCTAAAATCACTTACAGTCAAATCCCAAAGAAAATGCCATGTCTCCTTTGATTACTGAAGTTAAGCAGTGTTGAGCATGGTCAGTAATTAGATGGGGGACTACTTGGGAACACTGGGTACTGTAAGCAACTGCCTACAATCTGAAATATGTTTCAACTTTAAATAACTCACTAAGGGTTGATAAACTGTAAAAACAGATCAATCTTCCTGGGATCAAAGTGTAGTAGATACTTGATGCCTAGCCCTTCTGAGATAGAATCAAAGACTAGGAACCCTTTTTCAAGAATCAACACACATATATATATATATATATATATATATATATATATATATATATATATATATATATATATATATATATATATATATATATAGGCAGCAATTTTTCATTAATGCATGTTTCATTAAATAATATAGACAAGTTTTGTCTATTTATTTTAAGTAAGTTCCTTTCATATTGTCTGATAAGCTTAATCACATTTTCATTGAAAGACAAAAGGAAAATACCATATTGATACATGTTTAAATCCAGTCCAAGCTTTCAGCTTACATAAGCCATTATCAAAGATGACAATTTCAATATATCAAACAACACATGGATGAAACAACAATAATAGTCGACCCTTGCTGCATGAAAAATTTCAAAGCAGTGACAAACTCGTGTATACAAGACGCAGAAGTGGAAATTGCGTCGCAGCTCGTGACGTTACACATGACCACTTGAGAGTGAAAACGAGAAGTATCAAGTATGAGAAGCCATTGGTATAAACCAATGGCTTCCGTTATAAATTATGTCTCATGAACATGTATTATATGTAATCTTGTGGACATGTAGGGTTACATTCAGTCTCGTGAACATGTAGCATTACATTAAGTCTTGTGAACATGTAGTGTTATATTTAGTCTTTTCATAAATATGTCATGTTCCAGATAGTCTCTCTTGAACAGGCCATGTTATGTGTTGTCTCTCATGAACATGTAGTGTTATATTTAGTCTGGTGGACATGTAGTGTTGCATTTATTTTATATGAAGTCTCTACAATATACACTCCATGAAGAGCAAATTATTCCTCATAATGAAAATTTTAAACGACAACAGAGATGAAGACACCAACTGAAATGATAAAAATCTTCTCAATACTTCACAAAACAGTGTTTCTTTTTTTTACTATTACCTGTTAATTGATGCCTCTTGTTACATTTAGGATTTTTTTTACAATGAAGTATTTATTCCTGCCACCAGGTGTCTCCAGTGTCAATCATGATAATTCAAATGATCACTGAAGAAATGTACTACAAGTAACAGCAAAAGCATTTGTTACCTTCATTGTCAAGTCTTAACAAAATAGTCACATGAAAACGTGATCCGAAGGGAAATATAAATGCCATCCAATGAAAGACATTTTATAAATGTGACTGAGTTACCAAAGTGCATTCTTTATTTCAGACATAAAAAAAACTACAGGAAGGACTAGACTAGCTTCCCAATTAAATAGGTTCATTGTTTTTATTCTTTGCATCGAAATATAATTCTGTACCTATATATATATATATATAAGACAATTGCTCAGGCTGCTAAATGTCAATTTCACTGTTTTAAAAAGAAACAAGCTTGTCTACTCAAAAACATGTACCACTAAATATAATGACTACAATAAGATACAGGAGTAAGGATGTGCATATGTGTATATATATATATATATATATATATATATATATATATATATATAGATACATGTTTCATTCAATAATATAGACAAGTGTTGTCTATTTATTTTATGTAAATTCTTTGCATATCGTCTGATAAGCTTAATAAGATTATCATTAAACGAAGAAAGAAAATCACAATATTGATACATATTTTTTAATCCTATCTAAGCTTTCGGCTTACATAAGCCATTATCAAAGATTACAATTACAGTACAATATATTAAGCAATACACGGACAAGTCAGTGATGATAGTCTGTTTCTGTTTACATGGAAGCTACGACAAACTCGTACATATAAGATGGTGGAAGCGAAAATCACACCGCAACTCATGATGTCACACATGACCACACGAGAGTGAATTCGAGAAATATTAAGTATGGGAAGCCGTTGGTATAAACCAATGGCTTCTGTTACCAATTATAGGCATTTAAGTATATTTGTGGAGATTTCATAGTTTATTTTAGATTTCAAATGTTTTATGTAAATAGCTTCAAGAATTTTTAGTTTTTGTTTATTGTTTTCATGTTTAAGTATAGTTGTGTTTTCAACAAGGGTTTTCCGGAATTGTGTATGTGGCCAGGCATGTTGTTTTAAATGCTTAAAAATGTTAGTTATCATTCAAATGTAGTGTCAAGCATCATGAAGGTGAGTTTGTGGTGTGACCAACATAATATTATTTAATTCGTTGGAGATACATATATAGTGGGGGAAACAAATATTCGTACACATACAAGTTTTTAATTGATTGTATTTCTAACTAAGGAAAATTCATATTGGGAAAGAGTATTATGGACAGACAAAACCAATATATATGTATATATATATATATATATAGAGAGAGAGAGAGAGAGAGACAAAAGGAAAACTTATCTTAGCCAACACTTCATTCTCTAAGGTATTTTATCAAGTCACATTTGCCTTGATAAAATCCCTCAGAGGATGAAACGCATTGGCTAAGATAAGTTTTCCTTTTGTCTTCATTCATATTGTCCTTTTAAAGATATAATCTATCTGAAATTTTTACATATGCATATATATATATATACACACACACACACACACACACACACACACAAGTTTGATTAAAAAAGAACTGACAAAGTCAAGAAGCTATCGTCATACAAAATAAACAGCCCACATTAAATAAAATATCATTCACTACAGGAGATGGTGTCTTGAAGTGCATATGATATAATTAATGGGCGCATATATTATATTAGTATTAAAGAATTAATTAATAAAATAAATAAATCACATTCTTTTGTGCTGCCTCGTTCCCAATAGCCATTACACATGATGTCATGCTAAACTCTTCCCAAAGAATACCAGGATGCAGAATAAGAAATTCTATCTACTACACAGACACCATATCAGTTCTTGATAATGACCGTGAAAGTTGAAATTACTTGAACAAAAATAAAGTATGAACTTCAAACAGTTTATCCACAACTTTGAGCAAAATCTGAAAAATGGAAAAATAGGGTAAATAATTAAACAGACAGATCTTGTCAGCTCTTTTTTAATCAAACTTATTTGAATGAATACTTGCTGCCTAAATATACCTTATATATATATATATATATATATATATAGAGAGAGAGAGAGAGAGAGAGAGAGAGAGAGAGAGAAGAGGCATGATGGAGTAATGGGTAGCAGCTTGGATTGAGGAATCAGAGAGCTGAGTTCAAATTCCAGTCAAATCCATTCCATTCACTTACGTGCTAATACCCTTGGGAAAGGTGTGAATCCTCTTCTTCTCCCTCCAGCTAGGGGTAAATAGCAGGACAGACTGGGTTCTATAGCCTTGGATGGCAACTGAACTAGGAGAAGGACAACTCTGAATTTAAAACTTATAACGGTCGTTTGGGGATCTTGTGGCACTTAGTTTTTTTAATCAAGGGACATTTATATATATATACATATATATATATATATATATATATATATATATATATATGTTATTTTAGCATATTAAATCAAAATGTAAAAATCACTACACAATTGCAGTTATGTTTCAGCAGATATCAATTCATCTCCTCAGGTAATTGTAAATTACTGGTGAGTGAACGACTAAATTAATTTCAAAATCAAAATATCTTTCCTTTTTTCGAGGGGAAAAAAAAACTTACCTGAAGAGATATATATATATATATATATATATATATATATATATATATATCTCCAGGTAAGTTTTTTTTATGATCTCATGTGGTGAAACCTAGGTAGATAGTACCTGGCTCACTAGGATTTATTTATTTTATCTTTGCTCTACTTAGCGCATTGAGCACTCTTCATTTTAACTTATTACCTGCTGGGGGTTTTTTCTTTGTACCAGAGATTTAAGGTACTGGATGATTTCTTTTGCCCTGTTTCAGAGGTTTCTGGTGCTTTTTTTTTCCAAATTTTCCTCGGATGCCAATTTGTTTGAAAATTGTGCTATCCAGGTTTTATTCACCTACCAAGTTTAATAGATTTACATATATATATATATATATATATATATATATACACACACACACATACATACATATATATAAACACACATATATGCACATATATAAATATACACACACACACACACATATATATATATAGAGAGAGAGAGAAAGAGAAAGAGAAGGTGTATTTCAATAATTGAATACTATTAATAAGTTCTGTCTATCCAATTTTTTATTAACTTATAAAAATTTCCAAATTAGTTGTTTTATATAATCCATAAATTTACTAAAATTCATATTTATTTATATTTTATTTTGTTTTTTTACAAAAATAAATGAAATAAAATATAAACAAATATGAACTTTATAGAAAAAGGTAAGAAGTAAGAAAAATTAATGAAAAGGTGAAAAGAAAAATATATATGTTGGAAGATGAGAATGGAATGGGAGATTTTTTATTTATATGTATGTGTGTATATATATATATATATATATATATATATATGCATTGCTACATATGAATCACTACAATCTTGACACTGAAATAGAATGAAAATTGTGTAAATATGTGTGCTCGTATATATGAATGTCTCACCCCAAGATTATGAATATGGGTGTGTATGTACGAACTAACATGCATGCATGTGTGCCTACGTATATATGTGAGTGTCATTTCAAACAAACACAGAAGAAAATTTTTTTCTGCCTTCACCACACACAAATAAAACATAAATAGATCCACTTTTGAGAAAATAAACCAGTTTGTCTGAAGATCACAAAAGCATGAAACCTGGGGTTACAAACTTCTATCCATACAACTACATACATATATATATATATATATATATATATATATATAATGATGATGATGGACTCATTGTTTTTAACATATGAGTGTCTTTCAGTACAGTTTTTATGCTTATGTTTCATATGAGACAACAATCCGACACATGATTTACAAACAAATCTACACGAAT